GGGGGGGGGACACCCGAAGGTGCCAGCCCGTGGGGTGCCCGCAGGCGACAACGCTGTCCCTGGAGACGGAGCTGCAGCGGGTGCGGGAGCTGGGGGGGCAGCAGCGCAAGCGGGCGGCCGAGGTGCTCAACGGGCTGATGAAGGACCTGAGCGAGTTCAGCCTCATCGTGGGCAACGGCGAGATCAAGCTGGTGAGAAAAGGGGGGGCACGGGGAGGGGGGCTGGGACGTGCCGGTGCCACGCTGTGTCCGCGTCCACGCCGTGCCATGCCCACACGTGTGTGCCGTGCCCGTTCCGTGTCACACCCGTGCGCGTGTCGTGCCCGTTCCATGCTGTGCCCTGTGCCACGCCGTGCTCGTGACGTGTCTGTGACGTGCTGTGCCCGCAGCATGCCATACCCACGTGTGGCATGCGCCCACACCATGCCCATGCCATATCATGCCATGACCATGCCACACCACGCCATGCCATGCCATATCATGCCATGACCATGTCACACCACACCATGCCATGCCATGCCATATCATGCCATGATCATGCCACACCACGCCATGCCATGCCATATCACGCCATGACCATGTCACACCATGCCATGTCATGCCATGACCATGCCACACCACACCACGCCATGCCATGCCATATCACGCCATGACCATGCCACACGACACCACGCCATGCCATGCCATGCCATATCACGCCATGACCATGCCACACCACGCCATGCCATGCCATATCATGCCATATCACACCATGACCATGCCACACCACACCACGCCATGCCATGCCATATCACGCCATGACCATGCCACACGACACCACGCCATGCCATGCCATGCCATATCACGCCATGACCATGTCACACCACGCCATGCCATGCCATATCATGCCATATCACACCATGACCATGCCACACCACGCCATGCCATGCCATGCCATATCACGCCATGACCATGCCACACGACACCACGCCATGCCATATCATGCCATATCACACCATGACCATGCCACACCACGCCATGCCATGCCATATCACACCATGACCATGCCACACCATGCCATGTCATGCCGTGCCACGTGTGCCGTGCCATCCCCACGTACATGCTGCTCCCATGCCGTGCCATCCCCACGTGTGGCACGCACCCACACCACACCATGCCACACCATGCCATATCACGCCATGCCCATGCCACACCATGCCATGTCATGCCGTGCCACGTGTGCCGTGCCATCCCCACGTGTGGCACGCACCCACACCACACCATGCCACACCATGCCATATCACGCCATGCCATATCACGCCATGACCATGCCACACCATGCCATGTCATGCCGTGCCACGTGTGCCGTGCCATCCCCACGTGTGGCACACGCCCACGCCATGCCACGCGGTGCCCACACCGGGCTGACCCGCCTGCCGTGCCCGTGCCCAGCCGGTGGAGGTGAGCGGGGCCATCGAGGAGGAGTTCACGGTCGCCCGGCTCTACATCAGCAAGATCAAGTCGGAGGTGAAGTCGGTGGTGAAGCGGTGCCGGCAGCTGGAGAACCTGCAGGTGGAATGTCACCGCAAGATGGAGGTCACCGGGCGCGAGCTCTCCTCCTGCCAGCTCCTCATCTCCCAGGTGCGCTGGGCACGGGGACGCAGCCTGAGGGATGGTGGTTTGGTGGCCCCAGGGTTGGGTGACCTTGGGCTTTGGTGGCCCTGAGATTTGATGGCCCTGGGGTTTGGTGGCCCCAGGGTTGGGTGACCTTCAGCTTTGGTGGCCCTGACATTTAGTGGCCTTGGGGTTTGGTGGCCTGAGGTTTGGTGATTCTGGGGTTTGGTGGCTCCTGGGTCTGGTGTCCCCAGGGTTTGGTGACTCTGGGGTTTGATGACCCCGTGGGTTGGTGATGGGTTGGCCCTGGGGGTGGTGGGGGCTGGGTCTGGTGTCCCCAGTGTTTGGTGACCCTGGGGTTTGATGACCCCACGGGTTGGTGATGGGGTGGTCCTGGGGGTGGTGGGGGCTGGGTTTGGTGTCCCCATGGTTTGGTGACTCCAGGGTTTGGTGGCCCCAGGGCTTGATGACCCTGGGTTTTGGTGACCCGGGGGTTTGGTGACCCCATGGTTGGGTGTTGGGGTGGCCTGGGGAGGGCAGGGGGTGGGTTTGGTGTCCCCATGGTTTGGTGACCCCATGGTTTGGCTGAGGCTGGTCCCACAGCACGAGGCGAAGATCCGGTCGCTGACGGAGTACATGCAGACGGTGGAGCTGAAGAAGAGGAACCTGGAGGAGTCCTACGATGCCCTCAGCGAG